AATAAGGCCAAGTGTCAGGCCCTGCCCTTGGGTCCCAACAAACCCCTGGAAGGCTCCAGGCTGGGGGCAGAGGGGCTGGAGAGCTGCTCAGCAGGAAGGGACTTGGGGGTGCTGCTTGACAGCGGCTGGATATGAGGCAGAGTGTGCCCAGGGGGGCAAGAAGGCCAAGGGCATCGTGGCCTTTGTGGAGAAGAGTGTGGCCAGCAGGAGCAGAGAACTGATTGCCCCTCTGTGTTGGGCACTGCTGAGGCCCCACCTCGAGTGCTGTGTCCAGTTCTGACCCCTCAGTGCAAAAAGGCCACTTGATTCCAAGAGATTCTGCAGTCTCCCAGCTTTCCTTCAGATCCATGAGGCCCTGCAGTGTCACAATGGCCCTTTGATTCCATGAAGTTCCACACTCTCCCACAATTCCTCTGCTTCCATGAGCTTCGCAGTGTCTCAATAGGCCCTTGACTCCATGAGGTTCCAAACTGTCCCAGGGTTCCTTTGCTTCCAGGAGACCCTGAAGTGTCACAACAGCTCATTGATTCCCTGAGTTTCTCTGGTGTCACAAGGACCCCCTTGATTCCAACAAAGGCACCGTATCTAAATTTGTTCTTTGCAAACTGTCCTTGCTGTCACCTCCTGGCAGTGGCTTCATGGCCCCTGTCAGAGCCAACCCTGTCCCTGCACTGACCCAACTCTGCTGCCCCACAGATGCTGGATCAGGAAGGGAAGGCCCACGGTGCAGGGCAGTGCACTGGGACTCATCCTGGAAGGGACCTCGGCAGGTTTCTGGGCCAAACCAAAGCACAACCAGTGGAGAAAGGGACACAGGGATGGGCAGTTTGTGTGCTCTGCCATCTCAGGGGGAGATGTAGAGCTACAGGGACACCCAGCCAATGTGGATCCCTCCAGGAGATGGTTCCCATGTCTCATCTAGGCAGTGGTTGCTCCGGTTTGATGTTCACTGGTGGTTACACCCACCCACACCCACCCCAGTCTCATGTGCACACACACCAGTCTCACCAGAGTCTGGCCCCCCAGAGAACACAAGACCCCATCATTTGTGCTTCCCACTCCAGAAAGTGGCACTTGGACCTCCCTCCAAACCCAGAGCACAGAGTTCCCTTGTCCTAAAAGGTTCTTGGCAATGGAGGGATGAAGCAAACGGGACAGACTGTGGGGATCCCTTGCCAGGCATGGCCAGGGATGGGCACTGACCACTCACCTGTTTGCACGTGACCAGTGAATCTGAAAAATCGGCCCAAAAGACTGCTCAGAGACATTTGTTTATCTTTAAGCAGCGAGGTATTTGTTTATTCAACGTTGGGAGCAAGTCAGCTCGCGCTGGACAAACTTGCTCAACTTGCAAGTGCAAAACTAAGCCATTTTATACACTTTAGATACATGGTTACATCATTTATTATACATATTAATAAGTAGGCTGGTCTCTGGGCAGAGTCTTTCCAGACATGCCCATTCTTCTGCTGTGGGGGTCTTCTCCTCAAGCCTTCATCCCTCTGGTGGTCGCCATGGACGTCTTCCCCAATTTGACCTCTTCAATCAGGTGACCTGAATTCTTCAAGCTTGCAAAATCCTGACTCTGGGCCTTCTAGATCTTATTCAAACGTCTAGTTTCCCTAATTTATTACTGTGTGTGTACTACTCCTATTCTTTCTGTAACAAGGCCTTTGGTCCAGTGAGCAGAACAGAACATGAGATTAACCAGTGCTCCGAAAATGTTCTTCCAGTAAAACAGGTATTGGGTTTCTTAGCAGGCCAAGATGTCTCAGTTAACTCTTTTAGGCCTGGCTCCTGTTTCAATCCTCCTTCTGACCCTTCTTGTGGATGGGCATCACATGAGCACCTCCACTCATCGGGTCCTCCCTAGTGAGCCAGGACTGATGGTAAATGATGGAGGGTTTCTGCTGAGCTCTCCCTCCAGCTCCCTCAGCACCCTTGGATGAATCCCTTCTGGTCCCATAGACTTGGGAGTGTCTCAGTGGCTCAGCAGATCACCAACTGCTTCCTCCTGGATTACAGAGGGTCCATTCTGCTCCCTGTCCTTGTCTACCAGCTCAGGGGGCTGGTTGTCCTGAGGATAACAGGCCTTTCTGTTAAAGACTGAGGCAAAGAAGGCATTAAATGCCTTGGTCTTTTCCTCATCCTTGGTGACAATGTTCCCCCCGGTGTCCAATAAAGGATGGAGATTTTCCTGTCCTCTCCTTTTCTTGATGATGTATTATATAAACCCTTTTTATTACCCTTTACAGAAGTAGCCAGATTGAGTTCTAGCTGACCTTTTACCTTTCTAATTTTCTCTCTACGTGGCCTAACAACATCCTTGTACTCTTCCTGAGCTGCCTGCCCCTTCTTCCAAAGGTCATAAACCCTTTTTTTCCCCCAGTCCCAGAAAAATTCCCTGCTCAGCCAGGCCAGTCGTCTTCCCTGCCAGCTCATCTTGCAGCACACATGGACAGGTTGCTCCTGTACCTTCAAGATTTCCTTCTTAGAGTATGTCCAGCCTTCCTGGACCTCTTTGTTGTTAAGGACTGTTTTGCAGGAGGCTGCCTCAACCATTTCAGTGTCCTGAACAGGCCAGAGTCCACCCTCCAGAAGTCTAAGGTAGAAGTTTTATTGATCCCTTCCTTACTTCACCCAGAACTGAAAACTCCATCATTTCATGGTTGCTGTGCCCAAGACACCTCCGACCACCACATCTCCCAACAGCCCTTCTCTGTTCAAATCTTTCATCTCTCTTGACCAAGCATTATTGCCTTGCCAAGTCTCCCATCTCCCTTGTCCCCGTTCCCCTTGACCTTCCCAAATCTGCCATCATGTTGGGAGCAGCTTTCTGATGACATTCATGACCTCTGACTCTTTGCCTTCCCACAAATCAGCTGGGGGCTACTCAGCTCCTGTGACAGAAGTGACCTCACAGGTGGCATCCAGAGGGACAATGAGCTCCTGGGCTGTTGGTCCCTGCCCAGTGCACCCAGCAGTCCTGCACCGCTCCTGAGGTACCTGCCTCAGCTCAGACCTTCCAGCTCGTGCTCCAAAAGAGCTCCCATAGGTCCTAGGACACTTTTCCCAGTCCCACATGAGGGCTTCAGCTACCCCAGAGAATGCTGGAGGCACTGGTGACCTCTCTGCAAACAACTGACTCAAGCCCTGAATGTAGATTTTAGGAAATAGTGGAACCCCCTGACATGAAGACTTCTATGTACTCTCTGGAGAAGTCTTCCTTCCCACATTCATGAATGTTCTTTATGCAGTCATTTCCCAAACACATTTTCTACCAACAGTTTGAGTGGTGAAACATTGCTCAGAGGTTCTTCTCAGTTGCTATTAGCACATTTTATGTCTCTACTTCTTCCCCACTTTTTTTTTTCCTCTCTACTCTTTGATGAGCTTTCAAGGAAAAGATTGCTTGAATTGTGGGATAACTCAGATTGGAAGGGTTTCCTTTGCAATGGCCCTTGCACCAGTGTCTTCAATTGGATCAGGTGTGACTTTGGTCTGATTAATTCTTATAATCCACCTGACCTGTGGTCCTGCACACCCCCTCTGGCATCTGTAAGCATCTTCCAATTAATTCAGTTTTACTCAGCTGTGCAGCAGAAGCTGCTCCAGGGATCTCTGAAGCCGTCAGATTCTCCACCCAGGACGGCAATCGCTACATTTATGCCCAAGAAAAGGCCTGGGCACAGCAGGATCTGCCCATCTCTAGGACTGCCTGGACTTCCCTGCAGGGTGTCCCTGGAGAGGTCCCACACAATTCAGTCCAACAGTTGATTTGGAAGGTGACTCAAAATTTGTGCTCCTTTTGGAGTTTGTTAATTTTTAAGGATCTTGACTGAATTCAGTCACTTGGTTTCAAGCTGATGGGCTCTCTCAGACCAGTCTCTCCTCTTGTCTATGTGGACAATGAGCTGGGACCACTCAGGGGACTAATGACTTCAGTGCTCTGGCTGCACATCAACACAGCTTTGTTTCACTGCTTCAAACCCACCATCCCCTCTTCTCCCTCTGGCATTTCAAATCACCCTGTTTTTGGAACCATGTGCTCTGCTCCTCCCTGCCTAAAAACAAAATCAAAAGATGAAAGGAAAAATGTCAGTCTTTATTGCACATTTTTTCTCATACTTCTTTCTGTGAACTGTGTATTTTCATTTAAAAACATAACAACTTAATTAATCGGAGATTTGAGGCTTGAATAATGAGTTTCATCTGCTCCACTGCAGGCCCTTATGGGAACTTGTGTTCTCCAGGCTCCCTCTATAGTCAGTGGAGACAAGAGAAGGCTCTGGAGGCTGGGTTCTCCCAGTCTAAAACTGGCAGGCAAAGGAAAGGTTACAAATCTCTTCCTGGCTCTGTTCTCTTGCTCTGCATTTGGGTTGGAACATTTGACAGCAATAGCAGCGAGCAACTGTCTGGCAACAAGGGCCTTTTTGTGCAGATGGGTGTGAGGTGGGACTCTGGGACACACTGTGTGGATCCATAATAAATTTGGGTCATTATTTAGAGTACTAAAAAGACAAGTTATACTTGGTCCCTATTCTGCCCTCCCCTCTCTTTTCCTGAAGAACCAGAGAGCAAGAAGCTGTGGCAGAAAGCAGGGGATTGCAAAATACTTGATATTGCTTATTTTGAAATCAACAGATTCTCAGGGATTCCCAGTGCAAAAGGCAAACACTGAAAAGTAGAAACAAGAGCTTTAAACATGCAGAGTGGATGTGATTTCATGGTTTAGCATCTGTGCAGTAGAAGAGAGGCTTTTGGCACAGAGGTGTGACAGATGTTTGCCAGAGGTCTGAGTGAGCTTGGAATTTCCCAGGAATGGGGTGAAATAGCCAACAGCCTCTTCAGAATCCTCTGTTCTGGTGAAAGAATTCTTTGTGAGTATTTGGCAAAGTAGAAATAAGGCAACAAAATCTCTGAGGACTCTAAGTGAAATGTGAAACAGAAAAATCAGGGTGTGAGAATTGCTTGAAGGACGATCTCTGTGCTGTACAGGAAGACTGCAGGAAAAGAAAGGAGCAGAGAGGGAAGGATAGAACATTTTGTCCAGCCTGTGAAATTATCCCTCTTGGTTTTGCCATGTTCCTGTCCCGGCAGGATGAACTGAAATTCAGCATGGGAGCAGCAAATGAAACAGCAGTTACTGAGTTCATCCTAGAGGGTTTCCCAGGGCTTGATCAAAGCCTGCAGCTGTTTCTCTCTGTGATCCTTCTGCTCATGTACCTGACAACAGTGACAGGGAATGCAACCATCATTTTCCTCGTGTGTGTGGATCACCACCTGCAAACCCCCATGTACTTTTTCATTAGCAACCTGGCGTTCCTGGAAATCTGGTTTACATCCTCCACAAGCATCAAATTGTTTGCCATCCTGAGTTCTGACCAGAAAACCATCTCACTGAGCAGCTGATTTGCCCAGTCCTATTTCTATTTTGCCCTGGGCTGCACAGAGTTTGTCCTGCTTGTTGTCATGGCCTTTGACCGCTGGGTTGCCATCTGCCAACCCCTGCACTACGCTGCCACCATGGAGCCTCAGCTCTGCCTCTGCCTGGTTGTTGCTGCCTGGCTCATCGGCTTCACCCTCCTGAGCTACCGCCTGCTCTTCCTCTCTCAGCTGTCCTTCTGTGGCTCCAACAGGATCCCCCATTTGCTTTGTGACAACTCCCCCTTATTCAAACTGTCCTGCTCTGACACCAGCCTGCTTTGGAAAATAGACTCTGTTTTC